GTTGCTACAGATCAGACTTAGGGGCTCTCTTTTCTTCCCTCATGCTCTCAGCCTCCTCCACTGTGAAACTTCCACCACCCCCTTTTCCAGTTGTCCTTGGCCAAATCCGTGACCACCTCCTTATTTTCCACTTTCTTTTGGTTAAGCTCACAGACTCTTTTTTTGTATTTGTTTATTTGTTCTTAAAGCTGGAAGTCTGGAGGAAGAAGGACCTTAACTATTACTAATTGATCTCTTTTTTTTTTTTTTTCAAAAATGACCTTAAAGATTCATGACTAAGTCTTTTTCATGATTCCTAATAACTATAAGTAAACATTATTTCATTCCCAATTTATAGATGAAGAAACCGAGGTCCCAAAGATGACTTGCCTGATGTTACACAGCTAGCCCGGAGTCCAGCTTCTATATTCTTCACTGCTGCCATGCATGAGGCAGTGGAGATGAACTAGAACAGGGGAAGCCGGGACCTACAAAGTTACAGAATTCCTAAAAGACTTACCTTAGGAATTCTGGTTTTTGGTTGGCCCCTTTGGTATAAAGCTCTTCCATTCTTCTCTCCTTCATTATCTTTATGTCTCCCTCCTTTCCTTGAGGAAGGTCAAATTATGTCATTCTCTGGCAAAAGCTGTGCTGCTTATCATTGTTTAAAAATGCATGATATAGTTTAACTTCTCAAAATACTTTAAAGTTTTGAAAACGAAACATGTTTCAAACAGCCATCAACAGCAGGCCAGCGTGTCTGGCATTAAGTGGTTTCCTAGATGCAGAATTTACCAAGTGAGTTCACTTTGCTGCATCGTTTATTCTTGAAGCATTTAAGAATCACGAAGGGACTGAACATTCCTTGTGGGACTCATCATGCTAATAATCCTGGCGTTATGGGACAGGGACCAGCTGGAGTAGGTCTGCCTCGGGCCGGCTGGTAGCATGTAGGTTCTTGACTTCATGCAGGAAAGATTTCACAAGGCGAGTCCAGGTGATTTTGAGAGTTTGTACATTCAAGCTGGGGACAGTGAGACAAGGAAGGGCTTAGGGTAGAAGAAGCAACAGGAGAGGGCTTAGGTGGGGCTGCTTTCAGCTCACTGAGAAGTCAGGGTAGAAGGGGCCACAGAGACAGGTTAAAGGGGTGAGCCTGGAATGAGCTGCCACTGCCTGTTGCTCCCCTGGTTGCAAGTATCATAGTTGCAAGTTAGTGGGGGGAGTGGGGGGAGGGGGGAGAGAGAGGAGAGAAGCATACCTGAGAAAGAAAGGGGAAAGAAAGGTGTGAGTGTGCTCCAGAGGGAGCCCATGTTGGATCCTTCCTCTTAAGGGCTTTTTAAATTTTATTTTAATTTACTTATTGATTGATTGATTTTTTAGACAGAGAGTAAGAGGGAGAGAGAGAGAGAGAGAGAGAAACATTGATTTGTTGTTCTACTCAGTCATACACTCATTGGTTGGCTCTTGTATATACCCTGACTCCAGATTGAACTTGCAATCTTGATGTATCAGGACTATGTTCTAACCAACTGAGCCACCTGGTGAGGGCTTGAGGGCTTTTAAAGGCTGGGAGCTTAGGGGCGGTCTTAGGGAAGGATCTCAATAGAATATTCATCAGTTTTATGCTGATGCACCAAAGTGAGATTTATTCCCTTAACTTCATTCCCTTAGGTGTGGTTGGCACAAGTGGAACTAATTGGATTGTTGTTATCCATCTTCCTGAGTAGGGTGATTTAAGCTATCTACCCTCTGGTTGGGGAGGGGAGATGTAAACCATTTTTCCTGAAGTGTCCTTGGCTAGGGAAAAATAGGATTTTGTGATTTACTAGATGGCTGTGAACTGCTTGGGTATTTAATTATATGTCTCAGTTTCCCTATGCCACGTGTCCTGGCTTACTATTACTAGTCTGTCTCAGTGGTTGTCATTTATCAAGCCCCTTTATGCACCAGGCCTTAATTGACCATCATGGTAACTCTATGAGGTAGAAGTTACTGTCTCAATCTTTCCTAGTGAGATAATTAGGCTTAGGAAAGGAAAGGAATATTCCTACAGTTACAAAGCTAATAAGTAGCAGAGCTGGGATGAGAACTGAAGTGTCCTTGCCTTTGAAAACCACACTGATGGCCCTGGACAGTGTGGCTCAGTTGATTAGGTTATATTCTGTGCTCTGAAAGGTCACCTGTTTGATTCCTGGTCAGGGAACATGCCCAGGTTTCAGACTCGATTCTCGGTGAAGGTGTGCAGGAGGCAGCTGACCAATGTTTTGCCCTCACATCAATGTTTTTCTCTCTCTCTCCCTTCCTATCCCTACTAGTAAAAAATCAATATAATCTTTAAAAAAAGAAAGAAAGAAAACACTGATGGAACAGGGGAGCCAATCTTCCATTTAGTGGATAGGTCTTCCTGATGGAGCAGGTAGATGCCACAGGATCAAGAAGACAGTGCACCTTGAATGACCTCCCAACTGAAGTGCAGACAAGGTCTCATCATACATCAAGGTCTTACAGGGAGATTTTGCTTCTAAAGCCCTTGTGGGGATAGTTCAACCTTAGCCAACGAGGACTATTTTTTATCATCATACAATGAAATGTTGAGATGCCAATTACCACGCAAATGGCTCAGTCAGCACCGGGTGCGGGCGCACACTCTGGGACAGTTTCAAAGGCCAACAGGAGCACAGCCACATTAGACCTGTAGCAATAGCATCACGCTTGGAAAACTGCCTTGTTTAACAAAAAGAGCAATTGACTTGAGTATTTCTGGGAATAGTCACAAGTTCTGTGGCATAAGCTGGATACTTTTCTTCTTTGTACTTGCCTTTGTTTTCTGTAAATCTGTGTATGTTATGTAAGGTCCTTACAACACATAGATTTTTAGATTGTTTTGTATCTTTAGTCTAACATAAGATTCCCCACACATACAATTTTTAAACATAAAACCAATTGTAAAATTGTGTGTGTGTGTGTGTGTAATTAAATTGAAATATGAAGAAAGAATGTTAAAGGGTTCTCAAAACTTGGGATTATTTTTTTAACTTTTATTTTATGTTTAAAGTATTACAAAAGTAGTGCATGTGCTGGAGGGTAGCGGAGGCCGGGGCAAGGTCAATGGGGAAAAAAGGGAGATAAATTTGGATTATTTATAATAGGGCATGTACATGGAAAGATGTTGAGCATTCTGTACACATTATATCTAATAAAATGTGACAGAATACTATCTCTACTTTATAGATGAGCCAACTGAGGGTTAGTGAGTCTGCATAATGTGCTCCGGGTCACCCCTCTCATAAGCCCACATTGGTCTGATGCCCAAATCTTCCCTTTCCCACGGACACTCTCAGCAGAACTGCCCGTGTCTAAGAATCAAACCAAGCTGAAGCAAATACAAAACTGAGAGACTTATTAGACAGTGATCTGCCTGGCGAGTCACATTAGGTGGGGAATACCTAAAGGTCATGTAACCTTTTAGGAAGATGAACTGATAACTCCACCCAAGTCAAGGACCTGAGCTCTGAGTCTTTCTGTTTCCTGTCACTTTACTAAACTCCCTTCGAACCCCCATGACCCTCTGAAGATTCTGATTAAACAGCTTCTTCTTTTGATCCTATGGGTTTTCAGGGTCCAGGCAGCCAGCCTCTGGGTCACTGAGTGAGGGACATCATTAAGGGACTCCTCCTACTCTCCAAGCCAGAGAGAGTGGAATATAGTAGTCGCCTGTTTGCTCCTGATGCGTGGTAGTCACATCGCAGAAGAACTGAATAAGGAGAATAGCCTCCCCATTGTACAGAAGAGCAAAGTGAGGACTGCAGGAGATAATGCTTCTCCCAGAGTTCTAGGCGAAAGCTGAGACTCTGAACCTGCCCTGCCTGACTCCAAAGCCAGGCTTCTCTTCCCAACACCATCCATTCCTCATTGTTTCTTTTAAGCATTCAGGACCTTTCTGGTGTCTCTGCCCAAACGCAATGGCCCTCTCCCTGAAGCTAAGAATAAACTCTGAAGAGCCCCTGTCGCCCTCTGGGAGGAGTCCTCTCTTGGCTCTCAGATGCGGAGTTTGGTGGCAAAGCTGGATCCGCGTGCAATGGCGGGAGTGGTGGGAAGTTCACTGGTCAGGCGCCAGCTGGCTCAGGAGACTGGCTCCCTTCCCTTTTCTGGAGCATGAACGTTAAGTCTGGCCCTGCTCCGCTGCTTCGGTGCCCAGTTCTACAGCCATTTCAAGCCTCTCCTCTCCCCAAAATGAGCATTTACACTGCCATGGATCACCCCTTGGATGTTTCTAACCATGGAGCTGTGGCTTGGAAAACAAATTAGGAGTGACATTGCGTTCCTGTGTTTTCGGCTGTAGCTCATAATTTGGTGTAACGCAGGTCATTGTCTAAGAAGCAGGTCCCCGCGCAGGGAACCCCTTGGACACCAGAATGAAATTGACTAAATAAAAGCAGTTTCACTGAACAATTTGCAAATATCACTGCTTCTTGCCAAGCCTTTTTGGCAAAACCGTCTTCAGTGACTTGAGAGCTGTTCCAGCCAGAAAGGGATTTGGGTTACCTTCTGTTTTCCTCTTGCATTTTTCTGATACAAATGCTTCCATTAAAGCCACATTAAGTCGCAGACAATAGAAACGCCATTCAGGAAAAACATTTGCATTTATTTCTCCAGAAAAATTATTCAGGTTTTTTTTGTGTGTGTGTTTTTTTCCCTTTTCACAGGGAGGGGAGGGACCTTATTTTAGCCCAAAGTAATATATGCTAGAGGCAGTTTGTACTGCATATGGAAGGGTGTGTGTGTCCCCGGCAGGGGTAGGGGTTTTTTTTTAGGTAGGAGGGGAGGTGGCAACAGGGCAGAATGTGTGGCTGGAGCCTTGTTTCTAAGGAAAAGTGTATGAGGTTCTCTTTCTCTTACAGCAAGCATGTCAAACTCAAAGGCTAACATAGGCCAAATAAACAAGGTTTAAGTTTATGTGGGCCAGAAAATAACAAAAGCTTCAATTTTCAATGTATAACTTAGGTACACTAATCACATCATTACATATCAAGCAGATTATTTTATTTCTTACTTCACAGCAAAAATACTCCAATTCCTACTTTTCTTGGAAATTTCGATGTTCGTCAACAATTTTTCGTTTATTTTTACTACCACTTGATTTCGATAGAGACATGCTAAATACAAAGGGCTGAAATAAATGAGTAATTGTTAACATAAAATAATAGAACATTTTAATAAAAATTAATATTTTTTTCTTGAACATTAACTTACCAGATACTGATTAACTGCACAAATTAATAAGCGTAATGCAAATGAACCTATTTTTCTTGTTCATTGAAAGCGAAATATATTCTGTTGGGCACACCAAACAAGTCAGTACAAGACTAATGACCTGGTGATCAGCTGCTAAAATATTCACTGCTAGTATTAGTGGAGAGAAATGGTGCACCTGGGCATAAGGTATATAAGGGAAATGAATGCAACACGATTACTAGTAATCAGTCATTAGCGAACATTGTAGTTCGTTACTAATAATTATATATAACAGGATATTGTAAAAATTAAGTTATGAAATAGTTATTAAAACATTTCTTACATACCGTGATATTGGCCGGGGCGCAAAAAATATTTGTTGTTTGACATGCTTGTCTTACAGCACTTAAGATTGCAGGAAGGATCTCTTAGGGAGAGGAAAGAAGTATGGAGTGAGTGATAATTGTAAAAAGCCCTCAATGGCCATGGATTCTAGTTCAAAACTAACCCAGAACTAGTAGCATGGTCTCATAAATTAAAGATGTAAATATATAGACCGTGAGATTAAATTTAAAAATTGAGAGGAAAGATTGCCTTACGGGAAAGGACCCTTAGTGAGCATACTTGGCCTAGAAGCCAGAGGTTGCAAGGGCTGCTGACTCTCAAGGGGAAGGGGCCTGTGGAAGTCACTCTGGCTCACTGAGCCTGGCTTCCCTGGGCCTGCTGGGAGGATGGGGATTGCACAGGAGCTAGGCTGGGCTCTTTAAGGCGAGACTGAGATTCTGCCCTTCAGGACTGAGTTCCGCTGTTTGGGTTGGGTTTGGCCCTTTGGGGGTAGACTCCGCCCTTCTGGAGTAGGTTCCACTGATCGGAAAATAAAATAAAAATTGAGTGGAAAACATTTTTTTTAAAGGAAAATGAAAAAAAAAGTAGGCAAACATCACAACTCACATGGAGCTTAGACATGTCACTTAACTTCTCTGAGCCTTGGACTTTTCATCTATAAAATTGGGGGGGAAAAGAAGCAACAACTCAAATTGATATTGATGTGATCATACGCCGGATTCCGCATGTAACTTTATATAGCATTAGCACAGTTTTCTACTGGACAAAAGGAAAGCCCTGCCAGTTGCTCATTCTTTTGAAAAAATGTTTCAGTGGTGGCTTACTGAGGGAAGACGCCATTATGAATGCAATATCTCCCTTCCTTTATGGAGTTTATAGACTAGTGACTGAGATCCCAACTAAAACGTGTCAGAAGCCTGGCCCCTCCCTGGTGTCCCCCTGCAACCAGAATAGTCCCCATTGACAGTTGGTCTTCAAGAATCATTGTTAAAGGCCAGTGTGCTAGTTTGGATGACAAATTGTACACTCACCCAACCAATGATGCCCCGGGCTCTTCCTAAGACATAGCTGGGCAATTTTTTAGGACACCCAGGTGAACGTAAGGGTAAGAGCAAGACAACAGCCAAAACTTGCAGTCCAGGAGAGTTTGAAAAGGTTTTCTGGAATAAGCAATTTACTGACCCATAGAATTGGGATAGGAGACAGGAGTTACTCATGACTCAGACATGGAAGGTTAGAGCTTTTGAAGGGCTCTTAGGAGAAGATCTAAATCAGCCCTGTTTGCAGATGAGAAGAGAGGCCAGGAAGGGGCGCTGACTCAACAAAGTTTCCTCTAGTGTGAAAATAAACAACAAACCCAGGACGATAGCCATGTTTTGGGGGCTCTGGCCCAGTCTTCTCTCCATTTTCCTACTGTCTCTCTCGGAGTGTGGTCCTTAGAGGCATGAGATTGCAAAGTAAAGGAAGGAAAGAGAAGCCAGAGCCATAGGGGACGGGGTCTTGCTGACAGAGCTGCTACTGCTTTGAAGGGGTTTGCAGAAAAGAGCTAAACTTCCTGCAAAGAATAGTCCATAGGACCAATTGGCCTATTTTCCTTTCATCTTTCCAGTTACTTTAAAATCCTTGTATTTTTCCCTGGCTGGCGTGGCTCAGTGGTTGAGCGTCGACCTATGAACCAGGAGGTCACAGTTCCATTCCCTGTCAGGGTGCATGCCTGGGTTATGGGCTCGAACCCCAGTTGGGGATGTGCAGGAGGCAGTGGATCATTGATTCCTTCTTATCATAGAAGTTTCTAGCTCTCCCTCTCCCTTCCTTTCTGAAATCAATAAAAATACATTTAAAAATAATATTAATAAAATTCTTATTCGTTTCCTTTATCAAAAGCACCATAGGACTTTTTGAGAGTATAACATGTGCAAAGGTGTAATGATATAAATATATAATACATATTAAAACCCTAATTTCACTACTAACCTGTAAGCCTGATTAAACTCCTGGGGTTATATCCTTCCAGACATTATCTGTGCATACATATGTTTTCTTTGTTATCATAATAAGATCACTGATGCTCATATTATCAGGTAGTCTGTTTGATTTGTGTGGGTTTTTTTATTTGTTTTAACCCACTTTCCTATAGTCTAGCCTTGCTGATAAAATTCCTTGAGATCCCAGAGGTGATTTGAGGAGAGCAGAAAAGTTTTTCTTCCCGCCCCCAACTCCCAAGATCTCCCTCCCCAATCTCCTACCGATAGCAGGAATTCCATCAGCGACCGAATACCTGCTTGTGGATGCATGGATTAGCATGTCAATGCCTGCAAGAAGGGGCAAGCTTGGAGGCCCTTATCAGTAATTGAAATCATAGCCCTAGCCAGCTGGTTGTCTCCTCCTCCCCAGGCTGCCAAAGAGATTTCTAGCAGGAGGGAGAAAGGATTGGAGAAAGGGGGGTGGTATGTGAGTCACTGGGAGGAATGAAAGACCTCCAGACACTGCTTCCCAGGAGAGCCCATGGGGAAAGGTGAATGAGCCACAGGAGAGAAACTCACCCAGGTGACACACTAGGATGGAGAGGGGAGAGGAGCAGGGGCTGCTCTGCCAAATATGTCCTCATCCTCAGGATTGAAAATGTTGTGGTAATAATGCTGCCTACCCTTCCCTTCCCTTCCCTTCCCTCTCTCATTCCTCTCTCTCTCTCTCTCTCTCTCTCTCTCTCTCTCTCTCTCTCTCTCAATAAAATCTTTCATTCGCCAGTATTTGTTGAAAGCCTGCCACATCCCTGCATGCTGGCCTGTGATGATGGCCACAGTAGGCTCAGACATGGTCTGGCCCCCATGAACTTGACAACCCAGTGATGGAGTCCGACTTTTCACACACAGATAATTACATAATTAAATCTTGTTATCTAAGTGCCAAGTGCAAAAGAAGAAAATAGCAGCCTGTGTAAGGGAGAAGAACAGAGCAGGGCTTTAATTAGTCTGCAGGCCCAGGGGTGGCCCATTGACACTATGGTATTGAAAGGAAATCTGAAGGAGTAGGAATCAGGCAGGGAGACCAGGAAAGGGCTTTCCTGGCGGGAGAACAGCAGGAACAAAGGCCTGGAGGCTTGAAGGAGCCAGGGGAGCAATGGGAAGACCAGAAAGCCAGAGGGAGCCCTGTGGCTGGAACTTCTGCAGTTGGAGGGGGAGTCAGGGGTGAAGGCTTGATGTGATCCGGTAGGGATTTTACATGTTTGAAGAATTTCATGCAGAAAAGTGACACTGTCCTATTTATTTATTTTTGTTTCCAAAATATCCTGACTGCTCTGTAGAGAATGTTTGTCTCATTAAAAAAAAATAAATCTTTTTATTATAACCATTATATAATCAAGGTAAGAAAACAAAAATACCCATTAAAATAATTTTTTTTTAAAAAAAGACCAGAATGTGGGTGTTGTCTCTCTGAGGCTAGAGCAGTCCATACTCCTTGGAGATTCCCTGAAGTTCTGAAAAGATAAACCGATTCTCAGGAAGGCCAAAGCCTTGCCTCTGCCTGGCAGTGGCTCATGGCTTTGGAGTACTTATTGTTTGCCACACAACTCAGTACGGCATTTCTATACAAATTTGTTTCTGTACTTTTAGAAACAATTAAATTCTTGTAGCAACTTTATGCAGGAAAGGTTGTGATAATTCCCATTTGACAATGTGAGGGTTCTAACAGACTCACTTGATTGCCCCCACTAAACCGGAATTGGATCTCAGCTCCAGATCTGCACTGGTGCTGACTGGGCCCCATGTCCTAAAATAGCTTAAATCTGGACCCAAATAGTTTGAGCTCCAGGTCAAATTGTGAGCCTTCAGAGACAGCTTTTCTCTTGTCTTTAGAAAAAGACAAGGTCCTTCAGTGAATGGGAATTTCTGGGTGCCTGCAAAACCTCATCAGGATAGGGCTAGGGCAGTGGTCGGCAAACTCATTAGTCAACAGAGCCAAATATCAACAGTACAACGATTGAAATTTCTTTTGAGAGCCAATTTTTTTAAACTTAAACTGTATAGGTAGGTACGTTGTTATTAACTTAATTAGGGTTCTCCTAAGCTGGCCTTTGCTAAAAACGTCCTCAATCTGAGGGGTCGACCTCAGCGAACGTATGTTCCCCCACTTCTTCTAACGCCACTTCTTCAAAATAGACTCGCCCAGGCCGAAAACCGACTTCTGCGCATGGGCCACGAAGTTTCAATCGCACTGTACGTATGCGCCCGCACGTGGTCTTTTGTGGAAGAGCCACACTCAAGGGGCCAAAGAGCCGCATATGGCTAGCGAGCCGCGGTTTGCCGACCACTGGGCTAGGGGAACAACTTTTATCAGCTGCATCCTTCCACTGCTGTCCAGGCTCCTGTAACTTCTGATGTCTTACAGAGGGGCAGCGTCTGTTGTGATTCTCACTGACAGAGGCAAGATTGGCTGAGCTGCGAGCTCAACCTCTGGGATGCAGGGCCCTTCGGGGGGCATCTGGCCCAGCCCTTTGCCCTCACACCTGGGGAAAGCTAATCAATCATCCCACCCATCAATGTACGGGTAAGACGGTCAGGATCTAGTTTGAGGTAACATATAGTTTCAAAGAACAATTAGGAGGGGGGGTACTGTAGCATTTGTTAGATAGCAAAGCAAACATTCTTTTCAGGCCCAACACACACACACACACACACACACACACACACACACACCCCAACAATTTATAATTGTAAATTTTATAATTAGAAAAAATATGGACTGCAAACATTGAATTCAAAAGCAACACAAGAACTTTTAAAAACATAATTTAATCTTTTATTGATTTTATAGGAGAGGAATGGAGAGAGAGAGAGACATCAGTGTGAGAGATAAACATTGATTCTCTGCCTTCTTCACACACCCAGACAGGGGATCCAACCCGCAACCTGGGCCTGTGACCTGACCGGGAATCAAATGGGGACCTTCTGGTGCATGAGACGACACTCAACCAATTGAGCCACATACGCCAGGGCAAAAACCACAGTTTTTAAGAAATAATCTTTTTATGGCTCCC